TTTTGTGACTTTATTTGTAGGCTGTTTTCTATACGATGAGAATATCGACCGATCCGATAGCTCTGTATTCCCATAGGTTGAGTTTTCTTTTAGCAAACTGATTTTTTTATGAAGAGATCTGCATTTTATTCTAGCAAAAATCTCCCTCAACGTGCCCCCTCTGAGACTATGAGAGTCTAAGTGTAGAACTGCAGCTTGCTTTTCCTTTTCTATCCGAGCACCTTTGGGACCCTGTTGCCCTCGCCCTCCGTACAGCGCCCCATTTCCAGCCCCCACCATTTGTGCCCAGCTCGATGCTCCAGAGGACACGTGCGAATAAGGAGAGCATTTTGGAAAATAAACTTTAATGCTTACAACATCCTGGTGTTTATACCTCATTGACATGAATCATGATGAACGACGCAGCAGCGCTTTCGTGTGTCTCCCTCCCTCCCTGCGGCGTGGCTGAGCTCGTCCTGCGGCGGCCGCGGGGCAGAGCCGCTGCGTCCAGAGCCCGACGCGCCCTCCGGAACCGCCAGCCTTTCTGCCCAGACTGCCCCCAAAAGTCACGACCTGGTGGATGCCAGCACTGTGTGTCCTGACACCTCTCTGTATCTGCCTGCTCTGGAGCCGCAGTCCCAGCCAGAGCTTGCGAGGCGCGGACAGGAGCCGGGGCCGGGGCTCGCCGGGCCCTGCCCCGCTGGGACTGACATCACTGACATCACACCCGCGTTGATTGTATCGTCCAAGTGTGTGGATTCCTTCACTGAGCTCGTTACGTGGAAATAAAATGTGGTTGGTTTTAAAGCTGAACCTCGTGTCCGTCTGTTTCCGGGGGCTCAGGCCGTCCAGCTCCTCTCCAGCGTGCCCAGCTCCAGCCCCTCGCAGAACGACTGCGGCCAGCGCGCCTTGTGCTGCACAGAGCAAATGTGGCTTGTGCCCCTGGGGGCTGCTGTCCCCAGCCAGGGGCAGCTCCCAGCGCTTCCCTGGAGTCGCCCTCCCGGGCTGGGGTGGGCAGGGAGCAGCCCGGGGCACCTGCACCCCCTGCACGCCCACCCTGGCCCCTCCAGCCCTTCCCAGCCCTGCTCACCGGTCGCTGCCTGGAAAGCTGGTGGAGAGGGAAGGGAGCCCACTGGATGGGCTCCGTGGGCCAGCTGGACACTGAGATGTCACTGGCTTTGCCCGAGTCCACCATAGGGTCATTCATGCTGCTGGAGCTGGTGTCCCAGTCGTAATGGAAACTGGAAAAAAATCCACAGGTAGTTAAGAGAAGGGGATGAGTCAGGCGGGTGCAGGAGAAGGACCCTGTGCTGTGCCCTGGGGGTGATGAAGTCGCTGTTGGGCCAGTGCCAAGCTCTGGCCCCAGAGGGGAGCACCCGGAGCTCTGGCTTTGCTCCTGATTTCCCTGGGCCCACAGCTGGGGGTGTTCCTGCCCATCCTGCCCTTTGCCAATAGAGCTGGAAACTTCCAGGGCTCTTTTTCCATGCACCCTCCTGGAAGCTGATTTGAGTTTCCCATGAGCACACAGAGCCACCCTTTCCTGCAGATGTGAACTCTCCTCCCTTACAGCAGTCCCAGCACACACAGCTCCTCCCATGGGATAAAATTAAAATAAAATAAAATAAAATAAAATAAAATAAAATAAAATAAAATAAAATAAAATAAATAAAATAAACTAAACAGGTGCTGCTCCGGGGACTCCAAGGGCTGGGAGGTGTCAGAGCTCCTGGCACTGTCCATGGAGGAGCAGCCACTGGCTGGGCAGGGCTGCACGCACGGTTCCAGGGCTCCGTGTGCCCCAAAGCCCTCCCGGCCCAGAGTGAGCAGAGCCCCCCGAGCCCAGCCCGGCCCAGGCCCTGCTCCCTACCTGGGCTGGCACTGTGGGTGGGCACAGGGTGCCAGGCCCCGCTTGGCTCCAGCCGCGTCCCCCCGGCAGCCGCAGCAGCCACTGTCCAGCACCTGCAGCTGCAGCAGCTCCTCCGAGTTGCTGAAGGCCGGGTTGTCCAGCGAGCTGGCCGAGGGCAGCCCCGAGCGGGACCAGTACTGGGCCGAGACATCATCCAGGCGGCAGAAACGGCGATAGCTGCAGGACAGGTGGGCATGGGCTCACGTGTGCACACACAGGTACACATACACACAGAGATACACACAGAGATACACACAGAGATACACACAGAGATACAGAGATACACACAGAGATACACACATACACACAGAGATACACACATACACACAGGTGTGCACACACACGGATAATCACAGGTACAAACACACGGCAGGCACATGCACACGTGTGTACATGCATGTGCACATACACAAGCACGTGAGCACACAACCCCAGTGACTGCTTGACAGCACAGATCACAGATTTCTGCCCAAATTTCCTGGGTCCAGGGAAGGGCCCAGCTGCACACGCAGGGTGGGGACAGAGCCCGTGACACTGCTCAGCCTTGGCCACAGCCCCGCGGTGGTTGCAGCTGTTCCAGTGGTTTCCTCGGGAACAATCCCCACAGCACATTACAAAATGGGCAGTGAGTGGGGCCAGGACAGCAGAGCCCCATTCCCCAATGAGCTGCTTTGTCAGGGCTGTGCTCGAGCCTCGCTCACGCCCCAGGATGGGCAGGACATGCTGGGGCAGGCAGATCCTGTGCCTCAGGCAGCACCGAGGGGTCCCAGAGACCATGCAGATGGAGCTCATCAGCACATGGTGCACATCTGTCCACAGCAGCACAGCCCACAGCCCTTCAGTGCCCCCACAGCCCCCCAGCCCCCAGCCTGCCTCACTTCCCGTGGCTGGGAGCATCCCCCCATCACCTCCCACTGCCGCTATCCCACTCCCAATGCTGTTCTCCTTGCCAGAGCTCAGCCCCAGCCCAGCGACCCCACCATGACTTTCCCTGCTTCCCCTCACCCCCAGAGCCCAGCAGGGGCAGGAGTGCCCACCCTCCGGAGCCCCCAGACCCCAGTCGGGCCCCCGGCCCTGTGCTCCCACCTGCTGCGGGTCTGGTCCGCCCTGGCCTCCAGCAGCAGCGCCTTGAACCGGCGCACGGCGACGGCGGCGAGCACGGCGCCCAGGAGCACGATGCTGAGCAGGACCCCGGCCGCCGTGCCCAGCAGGGCCTGCTGTGTCACCCGGTAGTCACAGCGCAGCCCCATGAACCAGAAATCGCTGCCCACGGGGCACCTGCACCGAGGGGGCCGTCAGCGCCAGGGGGACAGCGCCGCCACCCCGGGCTGTCCCCAGGGCACTCACTGGCAGCGGGGCTGCTGGTCCCGGCCGTGCGAGCAGATGCCGTGGTTCTTGCAGTAGGCTCGGTGGCACAGGGAGGTGCAGGTCACGTTCCCGTCCGCCCTGGACGCGCAGGCGAAGCCGGACGGGCAGGTGAAGAGCAGAGCGCAGGGGTCCAGCGGCCGCGCTGCAGGGACGGGCACGGCTGTGTCACCCTCGCTGCCCAGCGTGTGCCCGCCCTGCCAGCAGCCCCCGGGCCCGACACGGCCTCGCACTCACCCAGAGCCACGTGGCGCAGGACGGGGGCCGTGCCCAGCGCCAGCCCCGGCCGGGCACGGGCAGAGCCCAGCGCGGCCTCCAGGAGCTCGTCCAGCCCCGGCCCCGGCAGCTGCTCGGCCGCGAACAGCGCGTCGTAGCTCAGCACCACGCTGCCCTCCCTGCGGGGACACCGCGGGGACACCGCGGGGCTGGGGGCGCCGCACCCCGGGACGGCGCTGCCCCCGTGCCCCGTGCCGGGAGCGGGGAACACACTGCGGGACCGAGCCAGCACCCACCCGATCCCCGACACCTGCGGGACCGAGCCAGCACCCACCCGACCCCTGACACCTGCGGGACCGAGCCAGCACCCACCCGATCCCCGACACCTGCGGGACCGAGCCAGCACCCACCTGATCCCGGTCACCTCCAGCCGCAGGAAGCCAGGCACGGGCGTGAAGAGGGGAGTGACCTGCACAGGGCGGCAGGAGCTGAGCGCGGTGTCCCCTGCCCGCATTCCCCGGCCCGCAGCCCCCAGCCCGCATTTCCCGGCCCGCAGCCCCCAGCCCGCATTCCCCAGCCCGCATTTCCCAGCCCGCATTCCCCGGCCCGCACTCACCGTCTGGTTGAAGCCCTGCAGCAGCTCCTGGCGCTCGGGGGAGCCGGGCTCCTGCAGGGCCGGCACGAATGCCATGTCCAGCACCAGCTCACAGGGGATGCGCAGGAGCGGCGCTGCAGGACAAAGGGACCCGCAGGTCATGACCCCACCCGGGAGCCTCGTCCCCCTCCTGCCGTGCCCCAGCAGAGGATCCCAAGCCTCAGACTCACCTCGCAGGAGTGGGGGCTGATCCTCCACGATGAACACCTGGGGGGCCCTGCCCACCGCAGCCCGCGTCACCTGGGGGGTGTCAGTGTCTGTCCTCCCTGTGGGGCTGCTCGATGGCTGGGCCAGCTCTGTGTCCACAGCAGCTGGGGGGGACCCAGGGCCCCCACCATGGGAATCTGGGGGCTGCTGGGGGGGCCCGGGCATCGCAGTGGGCACATGAGCTGGGGATCCCCATGTCACCCCCTGCACATCCCTCTGCAGTACAGCAGGATGTGGCTCTGCTGTGACTGTCCCCATGTCCCCGAGCCTTTCTGGGCTGGTGGCAGCTGTGATGGTGGCAGTGACGCCGGTGCTGGTGGCACCAACAGCAGGGGTGGGTCCCGGGGAAGGTGCAGGCTGGGATGAAGCTGGCTGCTGGGGAGGCCCAGGTGCTGAGGGCGGTGCCAGGCTGCCCACTCCCACCTGGGTCCCCCCCAGGGATGGAGGGCTCTCAGCAGGACCCACCTTCGAGCTGGAATGGGGCAGCCCTGGGGAGGGGTCCCCCAGAGGGGTGCCCACAGTGGTCCCTGGGGAAGGCAGGGGAGCTGACAGCAGGGTCACTGCAGAGCCACTGGCTGGGGCAGACTGTGGGGACAGGGACATGTGGGGGGATCCAGGACTGGCATGTGTCACCCCACCCTGTGCCACTGCAGGGCTTCCAGGGGCTGGGGGGACAGGAGGCTGCCCTGGGGTGGCTGATGGGCTCAGGGGGATGTGACTGTGTTCAGAGGGACCCCCTCTGTCGGGTGGGCCCAAGACTCCCGTGGTCAGGTCCAGAGCTCCTCCCTGGCTGGGAGATGTCAACCCTGGGGTGCTGGCCATGGTGGTGGGGACAGGCAGACCTGAGCCCCCGCGTGTGGCAGGCAGCGAGGCCGGGTCTGTCCCCACAGCTGGCCAGGCTGTGCTGGCCAAAGGGCTCCCACCAGGCCCAGGGGACAGTGCAGAGGGGTGAGGGGCAGAGTGGGGACCCTCCCGTGGGTGGGAAGCAAAGCCCCGCCCTGCTGACAGCCCTGGCAGCGCCCAGTGTGTCCCCTGCAGTGTCCCAGGGGGGGTCAGCAGCCTCTGCAGCCCCCCAGCAAAGGGTGATGTCCCTGCTGTCCCCGGAGCTGAGCTGTCAGTGGCCAGCACGGTGCCCGGGCGGGTCCCTGGGCTGCTGTCACCCAGCTGGACGGTGTCATTCTGGCTCTGCACGAGGGCTGTCCCAATGGCCCTCCATCCCAGCAGGCTGCTGCTGGACCTCCACTGTCCCCTGGCAGAACCTGGCACTGTCACGGAGGGTGGTGAATACACAAGCGGCCCCAGCGTGGTCGCGGCGCCTTCTACTGTCACATGTGCCAGAGGCCCAGGGCCCGGGGGGTGCGTGGAGGCAGGATCCGTGTGTGCCTCCGCAGGGGCTGGGGTCCCTGCCGCGGTCCCCCCCGGCCCGGCGGGGGCTGCCTGCTCCCTGCCGGCAGAGACCGGGGGTCCCGGGGGCTCGGCGGCCGAGCCGCCCCGCACCGCCGGCGCTGTGCCCTCCCTGCCCAGCCCGGGGCTCTCCTGCGGGCTGTAGGGCTCGGCTGTCCCGGCGGGGGCTCCGGGCAAGGGCGGCGGTCCGGCCTCTGTCCACAGCTGCCCCACGGCCCCTGGTGTGGGAGGCTGCCCCGTGCCGGCTCCCGGCTGCGGGCGATCTGCGGGCAGAGGCGAGGGGCGAGCACTGAGCGGCTCCGAGCCGCAGCCCCCGCGGCTGGCACTCGGTGCCACGGACGGTGCGGGAGGGGCGGCCGTACCTGGACCTGTCCGGCAGCGCTCCCCCGCCGCCGTGCCCAGCTGGGCGCAGGGGTCGGCAGCGCTCAGAGCAGAGCCCGTCCCGCTGCCCAAGGCCGGGCAAAGCCGTGCGCAGCATTCCACGAGCACTGGGAGAGAGGGAAAGGAGCAGCGTGCAGCGGTGCTGGGCAGCGAGCATCCCGCACCAGCACCGGGCACCCGGAGCTACCGCCGAGGTGAGACCCCCCCGTCTCTTTCTGCATTCTGTTAACCGAGGGGGGCTCTGCTAAAGGGGATGCTCCAGAACAACCCAAACCCAGCGGGGAACCACCTGCCTAGGTCCCAGCGAACGGTGGCGAGTCCTGCCCCACCATCTCACTGTGCCCGTGCTGGGCTCACCCCGAGCCCGATCGTGCCAGCACCGGCACCAGCGGGTGGCAGCGCTCCGGGCAGGTCTCCGGGGCCCCCTCTCCAGTGACAATGGGCGGTTCAGCGGGAGCTACGGCGGGTGGGCACCGCCCGGTGGGGCTGGCACTGCTCGGGGCTCACCAGGAGCCTGCGGGCCCCGCTCTCCACCGGCGCCCACCCGGGCTCCCGCAGGGGCAGCACCCGCCGCCTTCGAGGCCACGGAGTCTCCCGGGCTGGCGGCACAGCACGGCACGGAATGGCCACAGCACGGCACGGAATGGCCACACGGAAAACACACGCGGCCGCCGCCGGCGTGCCCGCCCCGCTGCCCGCTCGCCCCGGTACCCGCGGCCGGGCCCACTCCGGGCAGCTCCCGGGGACACCGAGCAGCCGCCGCCCCCGGCCCCAGCCCCGGCAGGGACACGGACCTGCCCGGAGCCGGTACCGGCGCCACCGCCGCCGCAGAGCTCCGGGCCGCCGGGATGCACCGGCCCTGCCGCCGCCGCCGCCCCCCGAGCGCAGCATCCCCCGCCAGCGGCACCGGGGACCCTTCCCGGCCGTGCCCCCCTCACCTGCGGCGGCCAGGAGCCGGGGCAGCGGCGGCCGGGCCCGGGGCAGCGGGAGCCGGGGCCGCTCCATGGCGCGGCGCGGGCGGCTCTGCCAGGCGGCGGCAGGAAGCCCCCGCCCGCCCCCGCTGCGGCGGGGCGGAGGCGCCGGGAACCGCAGCCCCCGGCCCGGACCCGCCCCGCGGCACCGGCACCGGCACGGCCCCGGAGCTCCCTCCCTCGGGCCGGGCGGACCGGGGCTCGGCAGCTCGGCACGGCCCCCGGTGCTCGGCGCGGAGCCGCCGCCTGCGGGGCTCGGGGACTCACGGCCCCTGCCCGTCCCCCTCCCACCGGTTCATCCCGGGACGCGTGCTCTGCCCCCGGCTGTCCCCGCTCCGTGAGCCGTGCCGGGACAGAGGCTCCCCCAGGACACCAATGTCAGCTCTGGCCGCAGGTCCCTCACCGCATCCCTCAGGGTCACCACACCCGCGGGAAGCCAGCGACCACTCCCCACCATCAGACACCTCGTGTCCATGCCGCGGGGAGCCACCAGAGGCACAGGAGCCAAACCCACCGTGTGCCCCCAGCTCTGCTCAGAAATCGCCCCAGAGCTCAGCCAGGCTGTGGGGCAGGGAGAAGCTTCCAAGGGCACGGTGAGAACAACCCCTGTGCCCCGGAGGCAGAGGTCACTGGTGTGCCAGGGATCTCACAGTGAGGTGCAGCTCCTGAGAACACCCTGGGAGCAGCCCACCACAACACAGGCACCATGGGCAGCACTGCAGCCTCTGCTCCATTTTCCATCCTTACCTCCCCCACTGCCAGAGGATCTGTTATCCTTGACACTTCCTTGGCTCCCAGCCTGGCAGGGCTGCTGTGACATGTCAGTGTTTCTTGGCTCTGAGGAAAAACTGTGCAGTGTTCAGAAATACCCTGCTCCTGCCTCATGAGGGTTAAAGCAAGGCTCCCGTGCTGAGATGAACCGGGTGCACAGGAACAGCGATGTCAATTTGCTGTTCAGCAGCAGGAAAATCATTCCCCCCCTTATTTTCCATCAGGAAAGCAGAAGCCTTTCACACAGAACTTGTTTTTATCAGCACTGATGAAATAAACAGTTACAAGCATGCAGGGCAGAGCCAAATCTCGGGGCAGGGTCCCCCGAGTGTCCTTCACACCCAACACCACCACCAGGATCCACCCACTGTGTGAGACAGAACAGCCACCACCAGAATGGTCTTAACTCTTTATTCCTGTTTTTTTTTCTTGTTTTTAAAGGACAACACATTCAGACAGCTTTAAATACAACATCCACGTGCAGCTTCCAAAGAAGGCAGCAGTGGGACAGCGTGTGCACTCCCGTCCATCCCTGCCGGCACCAGCCCAGTCCTGGTGTGGGACAGCTCCTGGGAAAACAAAATCCACATGTTTAACACCTCACCAAGCATTCAAAGGTACAGAAGTGGGTCAGGACACGCTGAGTGCTGAACTCAGGCACAGAAGGAGCCCCCAGCTCTCTCCAGAGGCCACAGCTCCCACCCTGGCCCTGGACAGAGAAGGGTCACAGCCCCCCTGCCCCAGGGAGCTGGGGGAAGCCTGGAGCCACACAGGAACAGGCAAGAATGTGGATCAGTGCTGCAGGCTGGCCTGAGGCCACCTCATTTCCCCTGCAGCCTTCCCCAGCCGCTCCTATAACCCTTTCCTGCCCATTTCCTTCCCGGCTGAGGCAGAGGAAACGGCAGCAGTGGCAGGGCTGAGGTGCCCCCACACACCCTGCACAGGGCACGGGGAGATGGGGCCATGGCTGAGAGCAACTTGGCACCCACTGCTGCCCCAGGGATGAGCCGAGTGCTGGATGTGCCAGGCAGGACCAGATGAGAGGCTGAGCCCACGTCCTGTCCCCAGCTGCAGGTGCTTCAGGAAAACACCCCCACCCTCAGGAAAACACCCTCCACCTGCCCTCCCCGCTGGCACCCACAGCTGCTGCCAGCTCCCTCCCGAGCTTCTGGGATCCCACCTGTGCCACACATCACCCTGTGTGTGCCCAGGCACCCTCAGAGCACATCTGAACTCACCTCTGAGCAACTGCTTCACTCATAAACATCCTTCTTATCTGCAATGTAATCTACAATCTCCTGTGGGCGCATCAGCTTCTCTGCATCTCCGTCAGGAATTTCAAATCCTGCAAGAAAGGGAACACACTTAGCCCAAAATCAATGGAAAAGGGAGCAAGGGCGAGGAAGGGGTGGCTGGGGGCTCAGGGGACACGCAGGCAGGGGCTGCTGTCAGCCAGAGCTGTCACTGCACTGCCCAAAGTGACACTGCTTCCAGACAGGGGACACGGCAGGCACAGCAGCAGCCAGAGCCCCCCGGGCACCAGAGTGTGGCAGGGCTCAGCACCCTCTGCTCCCCTTTCCCCTCCCCGGCTGGTGCCCATGGGGGGTGGGACAGAATTCCTGCTTCCAACGGGGCTGAGCTCCAGAGCAAAGGGCCATATTCCTGACTGCTTCCAACGGGGCTGAGCTCCAGAGCAAAGGGCCATATTCCTGACTGCTTCCAACGGGGCTGAGCTCCAGAGCAAAGGGCCATATTCCTGACTGCTGTGGGTGCCCAGCTCACTGGTGGCTCTGTGGGGTCTGCCCTGCTCTCGGGGCTGGCCTTGTGGGGCTTGCCCTGCTCTGTGGGGTTTGCCCGGCTCCCAGGGCTGGCCCTGTAGGGTTTGCTCTGCTCTGTAGGGTTTGCTCTGTCCCCAGGGCCGGCCCTGCGGGGTTTGCCCTGCTCTGGGAGCTTGCCCTGCTCCCAGGGCTGGCCCTGTAGGGTTTGCTCTGCTCTGTGGGGTTTGCTCTGCCCCCAGGGCCGGCCCTGCGGGGTTTGCCCTGCTCTGTGGGGTTTGCCCGGCTCCCAGGGCTGGCCCTGTAGGGTTTGCTCTGCTCTGTGGGGTTTGCTCTGCCCCCAGGGCTGGCCCTGCGGGGTTTGCCCGGCTCTGTGCGTTTCTCCCTGCCCCACACGGCACAGGCCGGCGGTGCCGCCGCTCGCACGGCCCAGCAGCCCCGGGCGCCGTTACCGAACTCGTCCTCCATGGCCATGATGATCTCCACTTGGTCCAGACTGTCCAGGCCCAGGTCCTTCATGAAGTGGGACTCGGCTGTGAGCTGGGGAGGACACGGCGGTCAGCGGGACACGGGCACCCCGTTACACCGGAGCCAGCGGCCCGGCCGCCTCCCCCCCGTCCCGCTCACCTTCTCGGGGTCGATCTTATCGTAGAGCTTGAGCACGTAGAGCACCCGGTCCTTGATGTCGGCCAAGGTCAGCGGCGGCAGCTCGGAGAAGCTGCGGCAGAGCGGCGCGGCCACGCGCGGCAGCCGGAGCAGCGCGGGCGGCGCGGGGCGGCCCGGCGGGGCGGGCGCGGCGGGCGGCAGGCGGCGGAGGGAGCGGAGCGCGGCGGGGCGGGCGGGCAGCGGCAGCAGGCGGCGGGCGCAGGACGAGAGGACACGGGCCGCCATCGTCGCTGTCCCGGCGGGCGCCGCGCGGCGAGACCGGCGCCTGCAGCGCCCTCTGCCGGGCGGCGGCCGCAGCGCCCCGGGCCGCGATCCCGGGATGGGCCGGACCGGCAGCGGCGATCCCGTGATCGCAGCTGCGATCCCGTGACCGGGGCTGCGATCCCGTGATCCCAGCTGGACCGGGCCGGGAGCGGCGATCCCGTGACCCCGGCTGCGGTTCCGTGATCCCGGCTGCGGTTCCGTAACCCGGCTTCGATCCCGTGATCCCGGCTGGATCGGGCCGGTATCGCCGCTCCCGGCCCGGGAACATCTCCACTGCGGGAGACTCCAGACCCTCTCTGAACTCTGTTCCTCTGTAACTGCACAGGAAAGTTCTACCTCGTGTCCAGGTGGAACTTGCCATGCCTGTAGCCTCTTCTCCTATTGCTCAGCACCACTGAGAAGTGCCTGGTCCCTCTTCTTGGCAACCCCTTTAGATAATTACACACACTGATAAGGTCCCTCTCAGCTGTGTCTGCTCTAGAGGCTGACCAGCTCCAGTTCCCTCAGCCTTTCCTCGTCAGGGGATGATCCAGTCCCTTCATCATTTCCACAGCCTCTGCTGGACCGCTCTAGGAGCTCCGTGCCCCTGCTGTCCCGAGGAGCCCAGAGCTGGACACAGCTCTCCAGCAGTGCCTCGCAGGGCGGAGCAGAGGGGAAGGATCCCCTCCCTGACCTGCTGCAAATGCTTTTCCCGGGGACACCATTGTCCTCCTTGGCCCCCAGGACACACTGCTGCTCAGGACAGCTCGGTGTCCATGAGAGCCCCCAGGTCCTTGTCTGCAGCCCCCCACAGTAGAGCAGTGACAACAGACACGGGCTGGTTCCCAAGGCAGCAGGTTTAATGGCACGGCAGGCGGCCCTGCCCGCCCGTCAGGCGGCTCCCGGCTGCGGGGGCCGGTACCGGTACAGCTGCACGGTGCCATCGCGGCGCCCGGCCAGCAGCCCGGCCCCGCCGGGGGCCCAGCGCGCCAGGGCCCAGTGCCCCGCGGGGCCCGGGGGCAGCACGGCCGTGCAGCGGCCCCGCAGCAGGTCCCACACGGCCACTGCGCCCGACGTCAGCACGGCGGCTCCCGCGGTGTCCCACACGTCACCCTCCAGGTACCTGCGGGGACACGGGGGTCAGCAGGGGATGTGCAAAAACACCATGGCAGCGTTTGTTCCGTTAGCCCAGGGCTCAGTTAAAGATTAATAGCAACTGCAGGCAGCCGACACTCCGGACTGTTCCTCCAGTGCAACTGGGAAGGGAGGAGGCCAAGGAAATCCTCCTGGAGACTCAGAACATACTTGAAAAAGGAGTACTCTTAAAAGGTGCTTCCCTTAAAAAAAAAAAAACAAAACACAAGTGTCCAAGGCCAGGTTGGACAGGGCTTGGAACAACCTGGTCTAGTGGAAGGTGTCCCTGCCCAGGGCAGGGCATGGGACTGGACGGTCTTTAAGGTCTCTTCCAACCCAAACCATTCTGTGATTCCATGACTGTTCAGTAACCAAGACCTTGGTCCACCACTATTCCCCCACATCCATCATGTTTCCTGTGTAAGGACACTGCAGGCTGAGCCTTAAACGCAAGGCTAAGCCTGCTGATGCCTCAAAACACAGGGCAGGAAGGAAAAGGCCATGTGCCTGCAGCCAGCTGCTCCACACAAACAAACCTGGCAGCACGGGATGCTGCAGCTGCAGGTAGCGCCAGGGGTTTAGCCAAGGAGCCCAGGGACACTCCCCCGGTCCCGTGGGGACAAAGTCAGCCCTGAGGAGCCCAGGGACACTCCCCCAGTCCCTGGAGGACAAAGCCAGCCCTGCGGTGACGGTGACAGAGCTGCCAGGGCCAGGGGTCAGGGCACAGCCTGCAGTGGGAAGTGGGCAGGAAGCAGCTCACAGCCCCAGGCTGGCACCGCACACACGCAGGGCCGGATGCAGCCCCTATCACGGGGAGATGGCCCCTGGATCCCCGCCAGGGCTCTCCCAAAGCCCCGCAGGAGCCAGCCCAGCCCGCCCAGCCCCAGGACTCGCCTGCCTGCCGGGCCAGGGGGGAGGCAGGAGGACGTCACCGGCGCGCCCCGGCCCGTGTGCGGGTTGAAGGCCACCACGCGGAACGCTGGGCTTCCACAGGACTCGCTCTCTTTGGCATGAGGGTGGCTCAAAACAACAAACAGAAGGCCCTGATACAGAGGGGGAAAATACATCACTAAAAACAACAGCAGGAGGAGGAAAACCAAAATAATTTTCCAAAAATTAAGTGCTAGACTCTCTGTAATCACAGCCCTGTGAACAGTGATGCGTTACTTTTACTGAGGAAAACAGAAACGGTTTATTTTCCTTATCAAATTAGATAAAAGCAAAAGCAGCTGCTGGCTGATAAGGGCTGATGCAACACAGCAGAGTGACAGCTCAGTGACCCGAGGGATTTATGAATTTCTCTTCCTGTTTCAAAAAGCTAAACCTGCTATAGGATGAGGTGACACTTCAAAAAACAAAAGAAGTAAATTTTCTGGGTCACACTTTAATCCCTACAAGCTTAAAATGTAGCAAAAATTCCATGGAAAGCAGCACAACTGAAAACAGTAGCTCCCAGAATGGCCACAAACCAGCATGAAATATCCTGGGATGGATAATGTGAGGAAGACTCCAAAGAGTTTGACCCAAGGCACCATTATTGGACAAGACATTCTTGTCCCAAAAGGTTACATGCTCACTGAAAACAATCAAATCCTTGATAAAGCACAAAAACCCATTGGGAATCACAGCACAGGTAAAAGCAAGTGGGGAAAGATGATTAGTGTGAATGTTGGTTTCACACAGCCCATTCCCTCGGGCATGTTTGTCCAGAGGAACATTCACAGAGGGATTCTAATGCTGGCAGCACCCACGTGTGACATGGAAGAGGCTTGCCAAGCACCAGGCCTGGGCAACAGCACTTCTGCTTCCTACTCACAGCATGCTGCAGCTTTGGAATGCACCAGGATGCATTGCTCCCACTTTACTAGCACCCTGCAGAAAGCCAGGAGTCGAGGCAGCCAGCATAGGTTTTTTATTCCTCCTGGTAACCTGTCTATCCTTGAATTATTTGCAGTGTATTGAAATAGAGCTGATAGTTCAGCCCTCCCTAGTAACTTCAATCCTTTATATCCCCATCCCAGCCAGTGCAGCCCAAGCATGAACTGTGAATTTTGTGTACGTACGGAGTCAGAATACGCTCGATGGCAGATGGAAGCTGGGTAGGAATAACCAACGTGCATCTTCCTCAGGAGCTGACCAGTTCTCAGATTCCTGCAGTTGGTGAAAACACAAATTCTGACTCATTTCTAATCACAGTTCCACCCCTGTGCAGGACGGACATGGGTTTGGTTCCACATTAAGCAAACGAAGCCAATAGCCAGGAAGGGTGTAGTGAGGATGATACAAAAGCAATGGAATTACAGCAATTCCCTGGCTGTCTGACTGTGGTGCCACACTGAGCACTGGCCCTCTGACAACCACCATTTCATGGTGGCTCAGCAGCCAGCCAGCACCCCTGTACAGCCCTGCAGCTGCTGAAACTGCCCCCAGCCCCTAAACTGTGTGTGGCAGAGCAAACACTCACCAAACCACAACACTGTTCCCTGCAGTGGTGCCCACCAAGGCCTCTCTCATCCCTTCTACTTCAGCAAAGGCTGTAACCGTTTCTTCAGGGGGCATCAGAGTCTGCCTGTCCTTGCTCCTGAAAGGAGACCAGCACATAGAAGAGCAGGTAAAACAAAAAGTGTGTTCTGGAAGAGGAACATAACACTGCTCAACATCCAAGGTGTTTCCTCGCTTTTATCCCACCCACCACAGGGACACCACCCCAAAGCAGCACCCCCAAACTCACCCCCCTGTCTCTGAGAGAACAAACATCTCCACTTGCTGCTCCTGCATGGTCCTGCTGCTGCTCACCAGCCTCCAGTCCTTCAGCCCAGCAACTGCTTTTATATTCCCAGTTTTCACTAGGGAGTGCTTGAATGAGTCAGTCTCAGAAGAATAAAGCAAGAGCCTAAATCAAGAGACAAGCACACACCATGACAGGAGGAAGCCCCACTCAAATCTGCTGTAGCATATAAAGATCAGTCTGTTCAATCAGCCTGCCAGCTCTGAGGTGAATAAACAGGTCTTTACAGTTGATTTTTAGAAATCCCTTCCACATTTTACAACTGTTAAAGCAACTGAGAAAGTGCCACATTAGTTAAAAAGATAATGTCAACCACTTCTCACAAGGAGCTGAGCTGCAACTACTCAGGGTGCAAAGCACTAGTAAGAAATAAATACAAAACCTTATTTCTCCAATCTCCAGCTCTCCCAGTGCTACACACACGAGGTTACAGGTGTCTGGCAGAGGAACAATCTGGATTACAGGAATCTGGGACAACAAAACAAGAATTCAGTGCCACCCACAGTGTCCTTTTGACTTTATTCTCATTTTCTAGAGTGTTTCAAGTAAAATGATGTGGAGCAGGATGGATTTTCAGACCCCTCTCAAGAAGCACACTAAAATGAACAGCTGCACTCTCTGCTGATTGCCTAATTAAACAATCCCCGCTGATACAAGAGACAAAACGTGTCTTGAGGAACTCTAAGGGGAAAAAGCACAAGTGAAGTGCAGGCACCATTGTGTGCATAAGGTATTAAATTCCAGCAGGTAACCATACAAGCAGCTCCAAGCTCCTCGTGTCTCAGGAACACATGGGGCGAGGAAGCAGCCCGTAACTCCAGCAGTGAGGATGTGTCCGTACCTCTCTGAAGTGCCAGGTGTGCACCCTGGCCCAGCCGGCGGGGGCCCGTGGCTGCCAGAGGGACACGGCGCTCTCGCAGGCGGTGACCACGTGCAGCTCCCTGCAGCCAGCTGCTGCCCAGCACACCGCGGCCACGTCCACCGCGCCCGAGCACCAGGGCTCCTGCCAAACAGACACCGTGCTCTCCTCTGTGCTCCCTCTGACACCACACAGCGCTCCTGCTGCACTGCTGTTCAACCCTGTCTGGCAGAGCTGCTGCTGCTGCCTCGGTCACGATTCCCTGCTGCTCTCCCACCTTTAGCTCTGAGACGAACTGCAAGCTCTTTTCTCGGGGGCCATCCGGCAGCGCTGCAGTCAACGGCTCTGCTGCATCTTTTATCTGCATGAACAAAATAAAAATGAGCATAATTCAACTTTGAAATTATATTCAGCACCTGCAAGAATGAGGCAGAATTGTTGCATGCTCTCTGTCACTCATGCAGGTACTGCATGCCACTGCTATGATCCATGCAAAGAGAACTTCTCCCTGAAGTCAGACAGGACTCTGAAAAAAAGGGATTTGCCCACAAAACCACTGGCTTAGTACCCTTCACAAAGATCCCAGCGTGTTACCTGTTCAGGTGAGGCTCTGCAGGATTCCTGCTCTTTGTTCTCTGGCTGCTGATGCTTCTCCAAGGACACAGTCTCATCAGATTTGTTCTCAGGACCTCTTTCAGCTGCTGAAGGCAATGCTGTACCTTGCTCCTTCTGGTTTCTGGCAGCCCCTGCAGCACAGGTGTCAGGGTGCAGTGGCACAGCAGGGTCTCTGTGTGCCACATCCCCCAGGACCAGGGCAGCTGCTCCTCTGGGGGAAGGTGGGGTCACTGGCAAGGCAGGTACAGAAGGTGTGTCAGGGAACACCTCAGTGTGCACTGAAGGTAAAACACCCGGGGTTGCACCCACAGCAGGGAAAACAGACGAGGAAATCTCAGGCTCAGGGTGAGCGGGAGCCTCTAGGACAGTCCCCATGGGAGTAAACAGCAATTCATGGGTGGAAAGCTCCTTCTTGGAAGTCAGGCCTTCCATGCAAGGGAGTTCAGGCAATCCAGTTTTGGAAGGCAAAATTAAATTACTTCTGAGACTTTTTTCTTTTGGCTTCATTTGTGCATCTGGTGTGTCCTCTGGAGCCACACCATCCTCAGACACAAAATCCTCCAAGTCATTCACAGGGGATGACTTCAATTTCTCCAGTTTCAGCACTCCAAATTCCTCATTTGGTAAGTGGAAGTCCCTGATGCCCAGCTTAGGGACCAGCCACTGGAGGCTGCGGAAGGAGAAGAGGGAGCCACGAGTGTCGGGGTCCGCAGCAGGGAGCCCAAGGGCAGCAGGACCCTGTGGACCCATGGCACTGCTGCATCCTCTGCTGCTGTCATCTAAACACAAGAATACAAGACAGAACATCGTGTCATAAAATAACCAGCAACTTGCCTTTTCAGATCTCTCATGAAGGGTGTCTTGGATTTTAAAAAACATCAAAACACCATGTTCATCTTAACACACAGAAGTGGCACTTTTCTGGAAAGACACGACACTCTACAGTTACTCTGTACCTCTGGATCAAGACTTTGGCTCAAAGACCACCACCAAAGCCTGACAGATATACCTGAGTGCTCAGTCAGTTTGGTTTATTGGTTTTCTCCCTACACTTTCTCTTTGTACAATATTCACAGACCCTCAGAAAGGAGAGAATAATCATTAGCATGCAGACAGTTGGAGGAACAGACGGACATTCAACTGCTGACAAACCAGCTCTACTGTTCACAGCCTTCACTCCAACAGCAAGGGCAGCTCAGTAAGTTCCCAGCCCTGCTCCACCTCTGTTCATTCCCTGCAGGTTTCTGGAATTGTTCAAGGAACACGGGCACCACAATAATCTATTTTTAAATAAATAAATCTCATTTTAAATGAATGAAAGTTAACTCCTATTGTATTTTCTTGCATAAACCCAGCAGGGTGTGAACAGCAGGGCCTGCACTCACAGGGATGTTCCCTGCCGTGGGGAATGGGGTGTTTTGGGGAGTTTACATGTGAGAAGTACCTGGTGAGCCCGTCGGGGGCCTGTGCCTGGCAGAGCAGCGCAGGGAGCGGTGCAGAGGGACACTGCCCCCGGGCAGCTGCTCGGCTCCTCGCTGCCTCTTCCCTCGCTGCACTGGATGTTTATGGCCCTGACACCCAGCAGCACTGGCAGAAGCATCGCTCCCTGGGCTCAGGGAATCACTGCTGTGGAGTGGGTTTTGAACCTGCTCTAGCAGAGCCTTATGGCATTTGCCTGGCACTTGGCTCCCACCTGGAGGAGGGTCAGGACCCGCTGGCTGGGTCGCTCCAGTCACTCCTGGCCCTGTGGGCCCCAGTGCTGCAGCACCAGACAATCTCCTCTCATCTGAGGAAGACCTTTCAAGGTTAGCATCACAGTTTTCCTTTTCACTCTGGTTCTCATTTGACAGCAGAGCACTGCTTTCATTGGCCATTGTGGGATCCTGACTCTCTATAAGCTCTTGTGACACTGGATGCATGGGGGCTTTGCAGGTAGCCTTTCTTCTTCCCTTCTGTTTCCTCTGGGATTGTCTCTGCTCTTGCCTTGTGCTAGTGATGCTTTTCTGAGAAATGGATTCCAGAGAAGTGCTGCTGTTGCTGGATGCAGGAAGAGATTTCTGAGAACTACTTGAGTTTGCTTGATCGTCTTCTGCCCCAAGAAAAGGGAAGGGCTCAACCCCTGGCTCTAAATCACCCTCAGGTCTCTCTTGCAAGGGCTGGTTGGGGTTTGCATCTTTCTGCTTGCATTTACTCCGCTGGCCTTTCTTGCTCCTGCCCAGCTGGCTGAGGATGACAGCGTCCAGGTCCACCTTCCTCTGGCAGTTGGACATGCGGCGCGTTGTCCGGACGTAGTACTCCACGGGGAAGAGCAGCCCTTCCACCACTGTGCAGGAGCTCAGCGTGCCCTCAGGAGCCACCACCTTGGCAGCAGGAGAGAGCCTTGATTCCATTTCAAGCTGTTGATTCTCCAGCAGTTCTTCAGCAGTGTCCAGAGCTTTATCTGCAGGACAGGGATTCACGGTATTAGTGTCACTTTGATGTCCTTCATGGTTATTGCTCTCCTTGGTTATGCTGGTATTTCTGCTGTCAGGCAATATTTCATTTTCTGACATTAAATCCAGGAGCCCACATAATTCTCCCTGATCTTCACACAAACTCTGACCCTCTGGCTGTTTTATTCTACTGGGGGATTCTTCTTTGCCATCACCTCTGGGGTCAAGTAAAACAGAATCTCCATGCTGTGAACACGGCTCATGTCCATCAGGTGTGGCCACAGCCCTTGAGGACTCAGGCTGCCAGGTGTCCCTGCTGTCCCTCAGCGTATGTGGGGACAGCTCAGGCTCTCCTGCAGTGACACTGCCACCAAACACATCCTGTACAAGCCCTGATGCTGCATCAGGAGTGAAACTATTTCTTTCTCCCTGCACAAGCACTGCCCCAGGTGCCCTTTGAGCAGGTTCCTCAGTGTGCGAGAGGCTGCTGTGCCTGAACACTGGTGACTGAAGCTCCTCTGCACTGGCAATTTGATTTTTCATCATTTCACCAGTACTGATTAGATGCACATCATGCACTGATTCCCTTTCCTTTGATTCCAGAGCCTTTGTCCGTCTCCGCAGCTTCATCATGCCTCGGGAGGTTTGGGGCTTTTTCTCCACAGGGACAGGACTGATGGTCCCACAGCACAGGTTTTCCTGTCTGGCCTGAAAGCTTTCTGCCCGGGAGCTGTCCTGAGGGCTAACCTCATCACTGGAGAATTCAGGAACGTGCTTAACTGTGGCAGATGTTGTCTTCTCCGTGCCAGCATCAGAGCAGGTTTTAGTCTGTAACTGAGAGGGCCCATCTCTGTCAGGACTAGGAGATGTGTTATCTCTAGAACCTGGGGGAGAAAATGCCACACGTGTAAAGTACTCCTAAAGTCCTGTCCAAGAAAAAAATCACATGGTAAAATCAGGCTTTGTTATCAGGGAAAAACGGGGATCTTACAGTCAGGATTGGAGCACTGCAGACCTGGGGAGGAGGGAAGCAGAGCAGACATTACTGCAGAGCACGGCTCAGCCCAGGGCAAGGGCCGTGTGGGGGCAGTGGATGTGGGGACAGTGGCCGAGGGGACAGCAGGGCCCGGAGTGAGGGTCAGCAGGGCCGGGTGCAGGACGGTCCGTGGGGCAACAGCGGCCACCGGGTCCCCGGGTGCTCCCACAGCCCTGTCCTGAGGGGGGACTGCCTGCGGCTCCCACCGGGGCCAGGCACCCCGTTCTCCCCGGCTCCTACCTGGGGCACCCCGTTCTCTCCGACTCTCACCTGGAGCGCCCCGTTCTCCCCGGCTCCCACCTGTGGGGCTCCGCTCCCGCCGGCCGTGGCTCCTGGCTCGCTCGGCTCGCCGTGCCCGCTGTAGACACACAAGACCCGGCGGGGCTTGGACCGGCTGGCGGTGCCCGGTGCCCCCCGGCCCGGCCCGGCCCGCTCCGCTCACCCGCAGCCGGATGACGGTCTCGCTGTATTCCCGCCTCAGCAGCTCCAGCTTCTCCCGCAGCTGCAAGAGATACCTGTCGGGATGGGCCCGGGACGGTCCCGGTCCCGGTCCCGCTGCCCCGGCCGGCCCCGCACCTTCTCCTTGTCGGCTCCGCTCAGGGCCGCTGCTGCCGGCGGGGCCTCCATGGCAACCGGGGCGCGGCGGCGCGGCGGGCGCGGCGGAGGTGACGCGGCGGAAGCGGAGCTCAGGGCCGGGCGGGGCGGCCATGGAGCTCAGCGAGATGCTCTACAACAAGTCCGAGTACATCGAGACGGTGCGGGGCCGCGGGGAGCGGGGCCGCGGGGCTCGGGGGGCCGCGGGGAGCGGGGGGCCGTGGGGCCGAGCCGGGCGCGCCGGGGGGCGGCGGGGCCCGGGACACCGGCCGTGACCGCCCGTTCTCCCCGCAGGCCTCCGGCAACAAGGTGAGCCGGCAGTCCGTGCTGTGCGGCAGCCAGAACATCGTCCTCAACGGCAAGGTGAGCGCCGGGCGGCCGCTGCCGTGTCCCCGGCGGTGCCCGCGGCACCCAGCGCTGCTCCCCCGCAGCATCGCTGCGAGCTGCCCGTGCTGCTTCCGTGTCCCGAGCGGCACCGTCCTGCTCTGTGCTAAGCCTGCTCTGTAATGCTCGCTGGCATGCCCAGAAGGGCAATTGGTGGTTCCAACCTCCTGCACTTTTGCTTTGTTGTCACTTTCCTTTTGACTGAAAGAATCGTCCCTAAAGTACGGGAATCTTGCTGGAGTGCCCGGGCCCCGGCATGAGTTTGTGTAATAAGTGCCACCACAGGCGGCAAGGGGAGCGGGTTTAGCTGTGTGTCCTTCTGCAGACAATCGTTATGAACGACTGCATCATCCGCGGGGACCTGGCGAACGTGCGGGTGGGCCGGCACTGCGTGGTGAAGAGCCGCAGCGTCATCAGGCCGCCCTTCAAGAAGTTCAGCAAAGGGTAAGAGTCCCCTGCCCCTTCCTTTAGGGAGAGACCTGAAAAATCTGTCAGCTTGACTGAGTCTTGTGTTCCGAGAACTCTTCCTTTTGCAGCAATTTGCAGAAATCATCTCTCAAACCTGCTTTTTCCTCAGATGCTGAGCTGTGCCTTGAGGGTTTGTGTTCCAGTCCTCTGTTGGATGGAAAGCGATAGATTAGAGTAGCAAAGTGAAGAGCATGTTTCAGTTTCTGTGTGTTTATTAACAACATCTTCCTTCTCATTTGGGCCATGCTTTAGAGAGGAGAAACTCAGAAACCGTTCTGTCTCCCTTAGCAGCGGATCCACATCTGTTAATCCATCTGGGGACAGGAGGCTGTGGGGTGATTCTGGGTGTAGCAGTGCCAGTTTGTTGTTGGATGCATACAAATACTCTACTGTCCTGTTGCAGGGTGGCTTTCTTCCCTCTGCACATTGGTGACCATGTCTTCATAGAAGAGGACTGTGTTGTCAACGCGGCCCAGATCGGCTCCTATGTGCACATAGGCAAGAACTGTGTCATTGTGAGTGCCATTTCTGTACTTTCTGTGAACTCCTGCGTGCTGCCGAGGCCTTGTGACAGCAGCTGAGATGTGTCTGCACCAGCTGGCTGGAGCAGGCTCACTGTCTGTGCTGTTCCTTCCTGCTCCTCGTCCTTCTCTGCAGGAAGCTGAGCTTTCAGGTTTACTTCTCTGAGGACAGCGTGTTCAGCTGCTGCTGGCTGCAAAATCCATCCCAAGTGTTGTCCCTGTGGCTAATGGGGTCACCCAGGGGAGGCAGCCTGGCCACAGAGTACAAGTGGAATTGTGTTTCTGTGTAAATAAGACCAAATAGTCAAGGCTACTGTGTGCTGAAGTAGAGAAGGCCTTGCTGGTACTGCTTGACTCAGGTTTTTGGTGACAATTTGAACATTGACATGTTAATGTGCAGTGGTACCTGCGCTAGTTGAAAGCAGACAGACATTTTTCCTCAAAAAGAAAAGTTAATTTTATTGGGAGATCATTCAGTCAGGGTAAAAATTTATTCCTGTGATCTCTTATAAAGGATATGTTTTGAGCAATTAATCTTCTTGAAATTTAGGTAACATCAGTAATAATAAGAAAACCTCATGTTCACAGTGTTGTAAATATAAACTTTTCCTGTTCTCTGCTTTAGGGACGTAGATGTGTTTTGAAAGACTGCTGCAAAATCTTAGACAACACAGTACTCCCTCCTGAAACTGTAGTTCCACCTTTCACTGTCTTCTCAGGCTGCCCAGGTATGCTCCCTCTATCTTCCCTTGCACAAAACTGCAGATAACATGGATGTTCTTATTTTAAATGGGATTTCTATAACAAAGGTGTCCCTTAGCATTTAGTGCCTAAAAATAAAGTTACTGGGTACTTGCTGCACTGAAAAGTAGCCCTTTTAACTTGTGAAACTCCCTGTTTTAGTGCATGTACACAGGTGGAACACGATGACTGATGGCCATGCTGTTCTTCTTCCAGGACTCTTCTCGGGGGAGCTCCCGGAATGCACCCAGGAGCTCATGATTGACGTTACCAAGAGCTATTACCAGAAGTTCTTGCCACTCACTCAGGTCTAGTAGCCACAGGAGCGTTCTGGGGGTGGGCAGAGGGACCCTGAGCCCCTCTGTGCCTCAGCTGTCCTGGCCAAGCAGTCCCTCGTGAAAGCTGCTGTGTCCTGTTCAAACTCTGTGTGCTCGTCCAGTGTACTCCATCCCACGTTGTCTGAGTTGTGCCTCTGAATGTTCTGGAGCTGGGAAAGCTGAACTTGGGGCAGCAGCTGGGAGTGAGGCCGGGCTGACACCTGCCTCAGCCTGTCTGCTCAGTTCTGTCCTAACCCAAAGCTAGGCTTAGGTTTGTTGGGAGCAGTCTCCATCCCAGCAGGGCTGTTCTGGCTGTGCTCTGGGCACTTTCCAGGGTTCCTAGACCTTTCCTTTGGCACAATCCTTGCTGCCCATGGGCCTGCATGCTGAGGTGCACGGCCTCTTCCTTTCTCCCTGGGATTCTCTCCAGGGGTACATCATCCTGCTGTTGGCTTTAGGAGTTTTGGCTGACACTGACAGCTGTCTTCCTGTGCCTGACAGGATTTCCTTAGCTTTTAGCTCCTGAAGGAGACCTGTGCTCTCACCCCTCAGGGCTAGTGTTCTTGGGGTCAGTGCCACTTCCTGACTTAAAGAGCCAAAGGCCTTTGAAAAGAGGATTGCCATGTCACTCACAGAATTCAGTGCAGCAGAAAGTGGGTAATTAAAAGTGAGAGAATGCTGCAAATGTTCCCATTTATTACCCAGTGTCTGCATTTGCAGAAAGCTCTTCTGTGCTTTTCTGCATTATGAAACTTAAGAATGACGCTCAGACTTCTTAGAAAGAGTGAAGATTTCATTTTGGACATGTAGTAGAGCATGAATAGTTCTTGCTGAGAGCAGCTCTGGACGTTGGAGGCATCTGATGCTCGTGTACCTGAGTACAGACAAGTGGCTGCACACCAGTCTGCCTGCTCTGGTTGTGCTCTGTTAAAGCTTAGCCTAGTCCTGCTCTAGGTTTTAACCTGCATGTTGTAGTGTAGCAGCTGGGGGTTTAGGTGTGTGGCTGTGGATGAGCAGCCCTGGAGCCTCAGCTGATCTGTGTAGCAAATGCTGATACACCTTAGTAGCCAATAGCTGTGTGAGTACTAACGTGTGTAGTAGCTGCTGTACATCCCGTGTAAAACCACTGACTGGTTTGTATTTTTACTGTACATAAATTAAAGCCTCTTCAGTTGTTCAAGTGACTCGTGACTCTTCAGACCAAACTAGATTGAGGTTCCTGCTGTGCCTGGGCATGAGCCACAGCCCCTTGTCCTGTGACTGCTACAGCCTATTCTGGCTGTCCTGTGCATTACAACATGTAGTGAAACAGGGTGAAACAGCTGCTTGCTCCCTCTGAGGGGCCTGAGAGGTCTCCTCTGTCACAGCCTTGACAGCCTTGGGGCTTCTTGTGAGATTCCCTGCAAGTCAGGAGTTGAGAGCACTGCTTTGCTCCAGGGTGTCGCTGGCAGTGTCTGGCAGGAGTGGGGTGTCTGTGCTGTGTTGCTGTGTTGTCACCTCAAAGTTTCAACACCACATTGTGCATTTCACTGGGATCGCTTGATCAGCAGCCACAGCAGCAGGGAGAGGAGTGGCAGAGGGGATATGAGTTTGGGAGTGGGGTGGCAGCTGGAAAAGTCTGAGTGATGAATTTCCACAGCACCTGAGAGCAGAGCTGTAGTGCATGAAGGGATGTGACGCTGCAATAACATGTTTCTTGGCCTGCTCTTCCTTCTAGCTGTCTGAGCTGACTCTTCTGCCTTAATTAAAACCTCTTTTGTTGTCTTTGTTAAGGTGGCCTCTGGCAGGGCCTAAAACCAAGCCACCACTGAAGATCCCTAACACCCAGCATTGTTAACATTCCTTACACTGGCCACTTTCTCCTCCTGCCTCTGAAGCGTCCCTCTGACCTGGGCTCAGCTCTCCGCCTCTGCCAGTCTGGGAAGATGGAGTGTCAGTGTCCCAGCTCTGCAGGCAGCCTTCCATCCAGCGTGGTGCAGGAGTGGGGAAGCGTATCCTGCAGGGAGGGGAATTCTTCTGTCAGCAATCTGTACAAACACTGAGCACTTCTAACCCCAAGTCGCTGTGTGGCTTCATTGATCCCTGTGTGCTTTGCTCGGCGTTGCTGATCAGGAGGGGCAGGGTGTGCTGCTGGATGTGAGGAGGTTCAGGGTCCCTGGAGCACACCCTCCCTGCCTGTGCTGCTGGTGGCTCGGCGTGAGGAGTGAGGGCCTGCCAGGGCTGTGTGGGGATGTCTGTGCCTGCTTTGTGGAGGGCAGAATCCCCTGGGATGATCCAACCCTTGAGCTGTGGCTATGGTGACCTGCAGGGCTCCTGGCCCTGTCCGTGCACTGGGCTCCAGGACACCCTGGCTCAACCCGCCGGGCAAAAGCACTGTGTATGCCGGTCACTGACAGTGTGTGCTGGCCACTGACAGTGTGTGCCGGTCACTGACAGTGTGTGCTGGCCACTGACGGTGTGTGCTGGCCACTGACGGTGTATGCTGGTCACTGACGGTGTGTGCTGGTCACAAATGGTGTATGCTGGTCACTGATGGTGTGTGCTGGCCACTGACGGTGTATGCCGGTCACTGACAGTGTGTGCTGGCCACTGACAGTGTGTGCTGGTCACAGACGGTGTGTGCTGGCCACTGACTGTTCTTTGTTAGCCAGTGCTGAAAGAAACAGCTTCTGCCCATGGGGAAAGGGGGCAAACGGTGTTCATTCCCTCAGCCCATGGCACCGTGCGTGCCAGGGAGCAGAGAGCAGGAGCCTGGCTGGGGCTGCTGCTGTGTGCTTGTGGGATGTTTGTCATTGTCATTGGTGGTGGAGTTCAGGCATGGGAGCATCATCCCACGGTCACCTCTCCCGGCAAGGGGGCCCAGGAGCCAGCACCGCGAGTGCCGGAGAGCCTGGTTGGGGGGACGGGGGCAGTGAGGGCAGGGACAGCCCCTCAGAACGGCCACACTGGCACCCGAGGGTCAGCAGCGTGGGGGTGCCCGTGTCGTAAAAACCGGCGCCCAAGGCCGGTTCCTGGCTACCCACGGGAGTCCCGCTGGGAACCGCAGGACATGGGAGCCGCGGGAGCGGGCGGTGCCGCCGCCGGGCCTGTGCCGGGAAAATCCACGCCGGTGCCAATCCCGGGGAATGTCCTTGGCGGAGCGCCCCGTGCCCGCGCTCGGGGTGCCCGGGAGCGCGCGCGGCCGCAGCCAACGGCCGCCGGCGCACGCGCACACCGCGCGCGCCGCGGGGGCGTGTCCGAGCGCGCCCGGCCCCGCCCCCGCGGGTGCCTGTCTCCCTGGGCTCCCATGGTGCCCCGCGCGCCGCGTGGATTTTAAATCGTGCGGCCAATGGGGAGCGGCCGCGCGCGGTAACGGCCCCGGCGCCGCCTTTGAATCGCGGCCGGACCGAGCGAGCGGCCCAGCTCAGCCCGGCCCGCCGCGGCACCGGAACAGCCACCCGGCACAGCCACCGGCACCCGCGGCTGTACCGACACAGCCACCCGGCGCCGCCACTGCACCGGGACCCGCCGGTACAGGGACTCGGCACACCCAGCCTCCCCGGTACCGAGACCCGCAGCTGCACCGGTGCAGGGACCCGGCACGTGCCGCTTCCCCGGCACCCACTGCTGCACCGGGACCCGCCGCCCTCCCGCAGCCGCTCTTTCGGTGCAGGCAGCCGGGGCCCGGCGGAGCCCCAGCGCGGACGCAGCATGAACGCGCCGGGCGGGAAGGCGGCGCGGCCGGCGGCGCTGGCGGAGCCGGCCCGGACGGCGGCGGCGGCGGCGGGGGGGAAGGAGGTGCCGAAGGTGCTCGTGGACCCCCGCACCCGGCGCAGCTTCGTGCGCGGGCGGTTCCTGGGCAAGGGCGGCTTCGCGCGGTGCTACGAGCTGGCCGAGGCCGAGAGCCGGGAGGTGTTCGCGGGGAAGGTGGTGCCCAAGTCGCTGCTGGTGAAGCCGCACCAGAAGGAGAAGATGTCCATGGAGATCGCCATCCACCGCAGCCTCTCCCACCGCCACGTCGTCGGCTTCCAGGGCTTCTTCGAGGACGACGACTTTGTCTACGTCGTGCTGGAGCTCTGCCGCCGCAGGGTGAGGGGCCGGGGGGCGGGTGTCGGTGTCCCCGGGTACGGACTGTCCCCTTCCCCGCGTCCTGCGGTACTGAGCTCCTCCTTGTCCCGCAACCCCCGCCCCGGTACTGACCCCCCGTCCCCCGCAGTCGCTGCTGGAGCTGCACAAGCGGCGGAAGGCGCTGAGCGAGCCCGAGGTGCGGTACTACCTGCGGCAGACCATCCTGGGCTGCCAGTACCTGCACAGCCACCGCGTCATCCACCGCGACCTCAAGCTGGGCAACCTCTTCCTCAGCGACGACATGGAGGTGAAGATCGGTAAGTGCAGGGACCCCAGCCCGGGGACTGGCCAGCCAGGGCATCTTGGTCATATCCTGTCTCCCTGTCCCTCCAGGTGACTTTGGCCTGGCCACCAAGGTAGAGTACGATGGGGAGCGCAAGAAGACCCTTTGTGGGACGCCCAACTACATCGCCCCAGAGGTGCTGGGCAAGAAGGGGCACAGCTTTGAGGTGGACATCTGGTCCATTGGCTGCATCATGTGAGTCAAGCTGCCATGGAGATGGGCAATCCCTGTGGTTCTGGTCTCCTTGGCCCCTCTGAGCTTCAGTGTGATCCAAAGCTCCAGGTCACTGTCTCCACAGTGCTGAGTCCTGCTGCCACGCAGCTCCCGACCTTCCCCAACTGAAACTTTCCCTACAGGGTGCTGGATCCCAGCTTCCCTTTCCAGGGGACAGGATCCAGGCACAGTACACGTAGCTGTCAGTGTCTAATGCCAAGTGTGTTCCCCCTGCCAGGAAAGCCCCTGGGTGTGCTTAGGACATGGTTGCTCCTGTGCACAATCTGAGTCTCTTTTCAAAACTGACCCTCTTTTGTCTGGGAATGCCCAGGTACACTCTGCTTGTGGGGAAACCGCCTTTTGAGACCTCTTGTCTAAAGGATACGTACATCCGGATCAAGAAGAACGAGTACACCATTCCCAAGGTAAGCTGCTTCCCATGGAGCGTCTGTTTGGCCCACGGTGGTGCTTGGTGAGCCTCCTGCTGCAGCCTCTGTGTCTGCCACTTCTTGGGCTCTCCATAGCAGGGCAGGGACTCTCAGTGCTGGAGGGCTGGTTCAGACTGGGGTGGCATGAGCCTTGTGGGGAGCCAGCAGCTCCCTGCCCTGCAATCCAGAAAAAATCTGAACTCGGCTGATGGTGTGTGGGGGTGAATGGACATGGGCAAGTCCATGAGGTCTGGGCCAGGTCCCCAGCTCATCACACTGCTGATGAGTTGGTGTTGCTCAAGTCATTTGACCTCAGGCTTTGGGTGCTGTTAGGAGCCAGTTCTCTGTGCCACCCAATTCTGCTTCCCCAGGCTCGTGTCCTGCTTGCCCAATGCAGCGCTGGAGCTCTGCTCCAGGCAGAGCTTCCCTGGGCTGCAAACCCCGTTCATTTGTCACTAGTGCACATTGTCCCTGAACCATCTCTAAACTCCACCTGTCCCTCAGCACATCAACCCTGTGGCTGCAAACCTCATCCAGAAGATGCTGAGGTCGGACCCTGCCACGCGCCCGACCATCGATGAGCTGCTGAACGACGAGTTCTTCACCTCGGGGTACCTGCCCAGCCGCCTGCCCACCAGCTGCCTCACCATCGCTCCCCGCTTCTCCCTGGCTCCCAGCAGCCTGGAGCTCGGCGGGCGGAAGCCGCTGACCGCGCTCAATAAAGGTGGGTGTGGGTGCCTGGGTGGGGCTGGGCACGGCCTGCCCGCCTCCAGCAGCATCCACAACCTTCAGTGTGCCTCCCTCATATCATCTCCTGATCCTTATGGAAACTCAGAGCATTTGTGGTGAGGGGGCTCTCCCTGCTCTGCCCGGGACGAAGCACTGCATTTGCTTCAGCTCTGTGAGGGGCTCAAACTGATGCCTGGGAAGCTTCACCAGAACACAAGGAAGACCTCTCCTATGCAGTGCCTGAGCACTGAACAGATTGCCTAGAGAGGGTGTGTGGAGTCTCCCTCCCTGGAGATACTCCAGAATCCTCTGGACACATCCTGTGCTCTGGAATTACCCTGCTCATGTGCCACCATGGTCCCTTCCGACATAAGTTGTTCTGTGTGTCAGGTGTTGTCTGTACCTGGTGCCTTTGGAACCTCACCCTGGTCACATCTCAGTGTTGTGTCTCTGTCCAGGACTGGACAGCCCTGCCCAGGAGCCCTTGCCGGAGAAGGAGGAGGCGGCGGGGCTGCGGGAGGTGGGAGATGCTGTCAGCTGCCACCTGGCTGACATGTTGCAGCAGCTGACTGCAGTCAACGCAGCCAAGCCCTCCGAGAGAGTGGCAGTGAGGCAAGGTGAGCCTGGGGCAGCCCACGGGCCTCATGGGGTGCACTGGCTGTGGGAAATGTCTCCTAACAAGCTGCTTTCTTCCTGCAGAAGAAGCTGAGGACCCGGCCTGCATTCCCATCTTCTGGGTTAGCAAATGGGTGGACTACTCAGATAAATATGGACTCGGTAAATACCATTGGTGGCAATGCTTCAGGCTTTCCTTGTGTCTGAGGGGGCTGGCAGAAGCCTGGGTTGGGGCATTTCCTAGGCCTGGGTTTTTAATCACCATATTCCAGTGTGTGTGTCCAAGACCACTGCCAGGAATCTTACCAAATACCCCAGGAATCCAGAGCAGTGGCCATCAGCCCTGGCCACTTTAACGTGGACAATGGTACCTGTGCCATGACCAAGTTCTCCCCAGCCTGCACAGGGATCCAAGGTGGCAGCAGAGGCTGTTTTTGAAGCAGCTGATGCAATAAAGGAGATGACAAATCCAGAGGTGGAAAAGTGCCAGCCAGACCTCCCCAAAGAGGAGACCTGGCAGGGCCTTGTTGGGATGGCTGTTAGGGAATCCCTGGGTGATAAACCATCTGCCTTGGTACTTCCCACTGCTTGTTGTCCCCTGAGATTGGAGGTCTCATGGGGTCCCTTCTGGGCAGGTTACCAGCTCTGTGACAACAGCGTTGGGGTTCTCTTCAATGACTCCACTCGGCTCATCATGTACAACGATGGGGACAACCTGCAGTACATTGAGCAGAACAACACCGAGTCCTACTTCACCGTGAGGTCCTACCCTTCTGCCCTCAACAAGAAGGTCAGTCCTGGGGGCAGGAGCCCTGGCTGGGGGGTGGTGAGACTCCTGCCACCCTTAGGCTTTGATGGCAGGGTGGGTTCCAGGGAGAAACGTTTACTGAGGCCACTGGCACTTTGCAGGCTTCCTCTAGCTGGTGGCACATAGCCCCAAGGACAGACACTAGCAGCTCTAGCTGCTATCTGAGGCTCATTTATGAGCAGTTAGTCCTCACAAGACATGCATGTACAAAGTGTTCAGCAAAGCAAGTCTGATGTGTCACAGAGTTAACTTTGATGATTTCCACAAGTTTTTGCTGTGACACCTCAAGCTCTGAGAGATGCAAGGAGGATCTGGGACTGTGCTCCCCCTCCCCATGCCTGGGGTCACCCTCAGCCCCTCACAGCCCATCCCTTCTGCAGATAACACTACTGAAGTACTTCCGGAACTACATGAGCGAGCACTTGCTGAAGGCAGGGGCGAACATCACGCCACGGGAGGGGGACGAGCTGGCCCGACTGCCCTACCTGTGCACCTGGTTCCGGACCCGCAGCGCCATCATCCTGCACCTCAGCAACGGCACTGTGCAGATCAACTTCTTCCAGGTGAGGCTCTTTGCAGGGCTGCGGCTCTGGCTGCACGTGGTGTGGCTGGGATGGCGGCAGAGGGGATGACCTGAGCCAAGGCTGTGCCCAGGGAGCCTGGCTCTGGGAGCTGTCTGTGCTGGTACCTAAAGCCCCCAGAGTGTCCTCCCTTGTGAGGGGCTGTGCTCTGCAGCAGCAGGCTGGCTGCTGCAGCCAGCTGTTGCCCTTTGCTGCACTCTGAATGAATTCTACAGAGGGATTTTGTCACACACTCTGGGCGTGCTGAGATGGCTCATGCCGAGGAAATGCTGCCCCAAGGAGCACGGTGCTCAGCGAGCATGTGTTCTCACCCCCCAGGACCACACCAAGGTCATCCTGTGCCCTCTCATGGCTGCTGTGACGTACATAGATGAGAAACGGGACTTCCGCACGTACAAGCTGAGCCTGATCGAGGAGCACGGCTGCTGCCGGGAGCTGGCCAGCCGCCTGCGCTACGCCCGCACCATGGTGGAGAAGCTCCTCAGCTCCAAGTCTGGCTCGGGCCGCGTGAAATCTTCCTCCTAGACCTCGTTCTTGCTGGACTCAACATTGGTGCCAAACTGCCCGGCTGCGGAGGGAGAGGTCTGGCAGCTTCCCTCCCATGGCCCGGCTGGGTTCCCACTCCTGGGTATGGGCTCACTGCCCCGAGGAAGCCCCTGCTGCTGTGGGAATGGTGTTGTTCACTGACTGGTGCCCAAAGGTTTCTTGCTTCCTGCTCCTAACAAAGTGTATTTTTAAATTCCCTACCTAGTCTGTTTTTCTAATTTCCCAAAGCCAAAAACCCAGCTCCAAACCAGCCCTCTCGTTTGAGGTGCCTGGGGCTGCTCTTGAGAGAGCAGAGCTGGCAGTGAGGTGTCTGTACATGGCTGTGCCCGTGCTCTGGGCTTTGTTTCCTCTGGCAGAAGCTCAGGTAAGGTATTGAATGAGCCCGGGGTGAGATTTGAGCAATTGGCCTTTTAATGCTGAAACTCCATGAAACCTCAACTTTTGTATATTTCATAACTTGAATAAAGATTGTTTAACAGCAGCCAGGCTGTTTCACTTCCCTTTGCCTTGCTGAGAGAGGGGGCAGCACCTCTCTGCCTTCCTCTCTCAATGAGACATCCTCTTACCCTTGGCCTGGGCATGCCTCTTCCTTGGCTCCATGACTAATTATGGCTAAAGAATCAGCACAAGTTGTCTCAGGCAGCAGGAACCCAGTGAGCTGCCTGTGTTGTTCTCCCACCACTGCTCCCTGCCAGCAACCAGAGGTGCTCTGAGGCCAGTTTGTTTTTATAAGCAGGACAAGTTTTAGTTTTTTAATTTTTTATAACATTTTGTATAAATATATTCTGGAAAGAAACCTGGTACAAACCTTGTTACCTGTGTAACAAAATCCCACACCCCAGTACACAGAGGAATCAAACTATACAAGATTATTGCTGTTCCACAGCAGAACTTTGCTGTGGGGCTCTCTATGCCCATGGGCTCAGCTGGTGCTGGAGGCTGGCTCATAGGGCCCACATGCCCATGAGGATGCCATGAACCAGAGCACCCATGGGATACCAGCCCTGGGCAGCAGGAGAGGCTGGGGGAGCTGCAGGCATAGGCCTGTCTTTGAGAGAAGGATACCAGGGGCAAGGAACCTCCCTCCTTTGTGCCCAGAGACAACTGTTCCTGGATGCTGTGCCACCAGGCCTGGCACAGGCTGCTGGGGCCCCTAAGGGGGAAAGCCCTGTTGTGAGCCCAGCTGAGATTCACAGCCCCATGGTGGGGCTGTGCCCCCACAGCCCAGTGCCACGGGCAGGTCCCGGCCCCAGGGTGGCTGCTGGGCCTGGCCTGGTGCGCACAGCCCTGCTGGGGCTGAGGGACAGCTCCAGTGTCAGGACTGGGAGCCCGGTCCTGAGCACAGCTCAAGGAGCTGCGGCCCCAGGCCCTGGCACAGGAGAGAACCTAAGGCACAAAGCTTTCTGTCCCTGGTGACTGTCCCCTGAGGCTGACAGCAGCCTGAGGGCGTTGCTGTGCCAGGGCCCCACTGTGAAAACACAACGTGTTTTCCTCTTTCTTCTCCAAGCACTGTATCGACCTGAAATGTCCTTGTTTTCTGACCCAAATGCCTTCACACCTGAGTCTGTGTGTGTTGGCAGTGTTGGTTGCCCAGAGGGTCCCCCAGGTGAGAGCACGGTGCTGTCCTGTGCCCCAGCTGCTGAGCCCTTGCCTGGCTGGCAGCAGGACCCTGAGAGAGGGCCCAGGCTGGGAGCAGCAGCCACAGCCCTCGGGCATGACCCACGGTCCTTGGGCATGACTGTGGCTCTCGGGTGTGACCCATGGCCTCAGGCATGACCTGCAGCCCTCGGGCACTGCTGCCCCTCAAGCACGATCCATGGCCCTCAGGCACGATCCATGGCCTTCAGGCATGGCCCCTGGTCCTCGGGCATGACCCGCGGCCCTCAGGCATGACCCACGGCCCTCAGGCAGCACCCGCGGCCCTCAGGCATGGCCCCCGGTCCTCGGGCATGACCCACGGCCCTCAGGCAGCACCCGCGGCCCTCAGGCATGGCCCCCAGTCCTCGGGCATGACCCGCGGCCCTCAGGCAGCACCCGCGGCCCTCAGGCGCCGTCGCCCCTCAGGCCCTGGCAGTAGTAGGAGCGGAAGGTGCGCTCGTGGGCACAGACCCGCATGGCTCCGTGCGTGTGCAGCAGCAGCCGCGGGAAGCGGGAGGTGAAGTACTGCACGAAGCCCTCGGGGACGGAGCCCAGGGCCACCCGCACGTCGGCCGGCAGCTCGTGGTAGTGGTGCTTCTGCAGGAGAGAGGGTGAGGTGAGCGGGGACGGGGACAGTGCGGGTGGCAGGGCCGCGGGGCAGCTGGGTGGCCATACCTTGTTCCTCATGGCCCGCAGCAGGTCACGCACCGACCCCCCCTTGTAGGTGCGGAACTTCCTCAGGTCTGGGGACAGCAGGAGAGACACGGAGTGAGGGGGGACACAGCCCATGTAGTGCCAGCCCCAGCCCAGCTGCACTGTGGCCTCCCAAGGAAGGGCTGCCACCTTTACCTGCCCCGCTTTTGGCTCCTGGGCACAAGCAGGTGCCTGCTGGCCAGTAAAAGCACCAGCCCCTGAAGCCCCACTGCTTCACTGGGCCCAATGATGAGCCTGGCCCCTCCATGCTCACCCATCTGCAGCGGGAGGGAGATGTGCATCCTCCAGTTGGTCCTCACCACCGCCCGTCCCCCCGATTCCAGGGCTGAGACGATGGGCCCCTCGGCTGGCTCCTTCTCCACACGGTCACTGACGTCCTGTGTGCCCAAGAGGTGGGTATGGCACTGCCCCTGCTCTGCACGAGGTGGGACACAGACCCAGGGACCGCTCACCCCCCATAAGAGTAGCTCACAAGGAGCATGTAGACCTAAATGCAACAGTTTCCAGCACGTTTTTCAGTGCACACCTGTCTGTGGGACAGCACAGGCTCACCTGGAAGAACTGCAGCTGCTTCTCCTCACTCCAGAAAAAGGGATGCACAAGGACCACAGGGGCCGAGGGCCGGCGCTGGGGCTCGGAGCTGATCATCGCCACAATCAGCTCCCTCGCAACGAGCTTGTCTGGGGGTGAAGCAGAACAGCAGAGAGCTCACCCCTGCGCCAGGAGAGGGAGCTGCCCTCAGGCCGGAGCCTCCCCGCGGTGCGGGGCCGTGGGGACGGGTCTCACCGTGAGCCTCCTCCTGCAGGCAGCTCAGCTGGTAGCAGCCCGCCAGGATGTTGGCCTGGCGCCGCAGGCTGTCCCCAAAGGGGTGCTGGCCCCCCGACACCACGTAGTAGAAGATGCACCCGGCTGAGAAGATGTCCACAGCACTGGTCTGCAAAACACGGGGGCACGGGGGACCCTCAGGCAAAGGGCGAGGAAACCTTTACCTGCCACTTCTCTGTCCTTTCATCTGCACAATTTGTCACTGGCTGCAGAACTGCTGGAAAATGCATCGCATGAGACTCCTGCTCTGCTACCTGTGCTTAGGGAGCCCCATCACCCCAGGTCCCCAACAGAGAAGGGGTTTCCAGAGGCACAGCCAGAATTCGGGACTCCACAGCACAATGGACACACAGGGGCTGCAGGTGTCCCACCAGCAGGCAAACAGACACCAGCATGAGCCCCAGCACTGCCCTGCCCAGGATCAGTGCAGCAGCTGCTTCCAGTGGCAATGAGATCCCCAATTCTGAAGAGAGAAGCGTGACCTTGGCAGCATCTCACAGCCCCTCCAACCTCCCCACCCCGAATTTCTGAGGACTAATGGAGCCTAATGAGACACGGGTGCTGAAAACAGCTGGGCACTGTCCCACAAGGGCAGGAGCATGGGGACAGCCCTGTCAAGGAGCACAGTGCCTGTGTCTGGGCTGGCTCTGGCTCACAGAGCTCTCATCTTAATTGTGCACCCCAGCAGTGTGACCTGGGGACACCACCAGCATGGGGACACTGCCACAATGGGCCCAAGGAGCACCCGGGGCAGGGTGGCCACGGCTCACTGACAGGGTTCTCCTTCGGGGCCTCTTGCAGCACCTCGGGCGCGATCCAGCCCTCAGTGCCGGGGATCCCGGAGCGGAGGCTGAAGCTCTGCCGGCCCCCCTGAAGCTTCTTGCAAAGGCCGAAGTCGGAGATGACAGCGCGGATCTGCCCGTGGCGGTTCGGGACAGAGATGAGGATGTTACAGGGCTTCAGGTCACGGTGCACTGCAAGTGAGAGGCTGTGGTGTCACCCGGCAGGGCTGCAGCAAACAGGGCTCTGGCACAGCCCCATGTGCTGCTGATCCCCACAGCCACTGCCCAAACCCTGCAGCATGAGGAGGGGCTGCAGAGGGGACTGCTGGCCCTTACCGATGCTGAGGGAGTGCAGGTGGGCCAGCCCCGACATGGTCTGACGCAGCACGGACACCGGGTCCAGCCCACGGCGCTCAAAGCTGGGGCTCTCCACGTACTGGAACCACACAGGAGAGGAACTAAGCCTCATTTACTGGGCAAGGGCAAGCTGGCTGGAGAGACGCCACCCCGGCGTGATGGGGCAATGGAGAGGAGCCCCTGCAGAGGCAGTTTGTGCCCAAGGCCGGTGTCTGCAGGGCTCCTGTGCCCGGCTCACCTCCTGCAGCGTGGCGGAGCACAGCTCGATGGCGATGTAGTGGAACTGCCGGTCCCGCTCCGTGCAGAAGTAGCGCACCACGTGGGGATGCTCGTCCGACTCCCGCAGCAGCCGCACCTCGCGGTCCAGCAGGTGCACGCACTCGGGCAGGAGGCGCTTCACGGCCACACTGCGGCCCTCGAACTGCCCCCTGTGCACAGAGTCTGGTGTGCCCCTGTGCAGCAGGGCCCGGCCACCCTCACCCAAGGATGCCCAGCATGCTGTACCCTCACTGCTGCACCCCAAAGCCTTGTCACATCACTGACAGGAAGAGATCTTCCCAGTGTAAGCTGGGAAGTGGAGGGTCTCAATTTTGTAGGAAAATGACATCCCTCATGTTTTCTGTGTTCAGTGCTGGAAAAGGGGCTCAGCCAGAGCCTCGAAACCGTGCGAGGGGCCAGAGCCAGTGCAGGCAGGCAGTCAGAGAGGGGGTGTAAGGGGGACCTGCCCTGTGTACCCAGTGCCTGGTCAATGAGGGCCACGAGCCCAGCTCCAGGATGGGCAGGATGAGGACCAGAAGAAGGTGAAGGGGGTGAGTTCTCAAAAGTCCCTGAACCAGTGGCCACCACCCTGAGCTGCCTTGTCACTCTCCCTGTCACCATCCCACTATCCTGGCTCCCAAGGAGAAAGGGAGCAGAGGGGGGACAGGCACCCAGTGTCACCCACCTGAAGACAAAGGTTCCTCCAGCTCCATGGCCCAGCACATCTTTGGGGTTAAAAGAAACTTTCCCAACTACAACCAGGTCTGGTTCTGCATCTGCAATGGAGAGAAGACAGCCTCCAACCATTAGTTCTGTATGGAGGACACCTGTTTCTCTATTCATCTGGCCATTTCTTGGGCCCTACTCCTATGTAGCCCATGCTTATCCAGCAGCAGATCAGCACCCATCCCAGGTGGGCTGCAGCCCTCTCATCTGCGGGCAGCCCTGCACCTGCTCTGGGTGCCGGTGTCTCTGGACAGAAGCCCCCACAGCCTGCCCATTGCCCCTGCACCCACCTTCAGCAGCCCCTGGGACAGCTGGCTCTGGGCTGACTGTCCCGTTAGCCGGGTCCTTCAGGCAGGTGGAGGGGCTGGAGCCCTGTGAGAGCTCTGAGGCACTTCCCTGGCTCAGCTCCAGCTCCCCGGGCTCCTCAGGGACGCCCTCCCTGGAGACTCGGCCCGAGAGCAGCATCTCCTGCTGCTGCTGCAGGAGCTGTATCTGCTCCTCCAGCTGCTGCTGCTGGGCCACATGCTGCCGCTGCAGTTTCTGGAACACAAACCACGGGAATACTCAGAGCCTGGAACCATGCTGGGGCGTCGGTTGCGTGTCCCTCTCCCTCCACCACCAGCACTCACCATGAGCAGCAGGACCAGGATTCCCCCACCCAGCAGAGTTGTGCCCACGCCAGCCATCACCAGGTCCCAGGTGCCAGACTCGGGGTACACCTCCAGCTGCTCCCCCAGTGCGGGGTCTGCCTGGAGCTGCCCCTCGCTGCGGACAGCTGGCGCCTCCGGGCTGCTCGGGGCCAGGAACTGCAACACACACCCAGGGCTGGCTGAGGCACAGACCGCAGGGCACTTGGCTTTGGGACTTCCTTCCTGTCCCATCCCATGCTGGGGACCCACTGCCCACCCCAAGCAGCACAGACCCCTCAGTGACCCAGCACCCTTCACCACTCACATCGTCGAACACGGTCCTGCTGGGAGGAGCCCTGGGGATGATGGTTTCCGTGGTTTTCCTCAGGTTCTCTGGGAAGGCTCGCAGCATCGTGGTGTGGACCAAAGGAGGCAGCTCATGGTGCCCTTTGGCAGGAGGAGAACAGAGACAACCCTCAGTTCACCTCTTGGTTTCAGCATCCATCCCTTGCCAGCAGTCCTGGCCCTCCTGGAGTAGGAGGGTTGCTTCTCATGGGACCCCCAGCATGGGTAACTGTGAGCCCTGCTTCAAAGGGCCCCTGCCCACCCCTGCACAGGATGTCCAGCAGTCACTCTTGGAGAGGGGACAAGGAAGGGCTGAAAGGAGTCCCAAGGGGGAGGGGACACAAGGAGAGGCTGAAAGGAGTCCCAGGCCAGCGTTAGCCCAGCCCGAGGTGACTCAGCCTTAATCCCATTCACCCCGCCGGGCAGAGCAGGTTGCCTATTGTCCCTAAAGCACAGCAGCAGCTCGGGGTGTTCCCCGCCCGGCACCATCTGGGAGCCAGGACATGGGTGAGTCTGTGCCTACCACTGCTCCGCACCTATGAGCAGCCACTGGTTGGGAGGCGAGGCAATGCTGCCCTGCGGGTACTTGACATCCGTGCTGGGCGTGATCTCACACTCCCCGGACTCCCTCATGGTCACCTCGTCCGTGGTGGGGCCGTCGATCCTGGCCAGTGTGATGCCCTGGGGCTGGGGATGTGGCAGCTCGTGGGGCACCAGGCTGGACATGCCATGGTGGCTCCAGAGGGGCAGAGGGGACACTCACCACCAGTGCCACGCTGCTGTGCACCAGGGAGGTCACAGCATAGAAACTGGTGGCGTGCTTCCCCACGTAGAGCGCCGGCCTGCAGGGCAAGGACAAGCATCACCTTCCATCCACCAGGACCGGGGTGGCCGAGCACGGGGAACACGAATGCCACCGGCTGCCATCGCTCAGGAACCACCTACAGCAGCTGGGTCTTGGTGGCAGTGAAGTCCTTGACGGACTGGTAGCTCCACTTGAGGACGTGGATGTCCTGTGACTGGAAGGTCAGATAGCGCAGGGTCTCCATGGCCAGGTTGAGGTGGGGCAGGCGGCGCAGGCTGTCCTGGTGCCACAGGTAGATGCCAACCACAGGTGAGCCGTAGTTCTGCGCCCACAGGACCTCCCCACTCTCCTTGTCCAGGGTCACCACCAGCCCATCCCCGCTTGAGGCCAAGTGTGCCATTTCTGCAGAGAGCAAGAGGGATCAGGGATTCAGCACTTCAGCTGTGTCTCCTCTGGTCACCCTCAGTTCTGTCACTGGCCATGGGCTGCTGCCTGTTCTCCCCAGCAATGGGCACAGCCAGAGTCCTGCTGCTGTGGGCACTGGGGAGCTGTGTGCCATGACTGCCACAGCTCCCATGGCCGCTGCAGTTGCACTCACTGTAGTGGTAGGACTCCTCGCAGAGCGGGGCCGAGTACTCAGAGAAGGTGGCATTCCAGCGCAGCTCCCGTGACTTGGTGTCATACATGGTGATGACATACTCTGGGGACAGGAGCAGGGCACGAGGTCACCTGCAGTGCCCCGTTCCTGGCACCAGGTGGTCGATGGGGGCACTTACGGGTCCGTCCGATGTAGAGCAAGGGGCTGGATGGGCACAGACCATCCCAGGCCTCTGTTGAGAGGGTGGTCTGCTTTTCCCCTGACTTGGGGTCCACAATGAACCAGCTGTCCTGCTTCTTCCCTGAGAAGGAAAATGCCTTCTCTGTAAGCCCCCGCAGCCCCCTGTCCCCAGGAGCTCCCTCTGAGCCCTGCCTGTGGCCCCGCACGGCTCCTGGAGCCCAGGCAGTGCTGTCCTGCACTCCCCAGAGCTCCGTACCGGTGTAGAGCACCCCGTCCGAGCTGCGGCACGGCGAGGACTGCACCAGCTCCGGGATGGTGAACGGCAGCTTCTGCAACACAGGGGCAGCGCAGGGTCACCCCTGCAGCCCAGGGCACCCCCGGGCTCACAGCATGCCCACGGCCCCACAGCCCTACTGACCATCAAGCCTTCTTTGTTCTTTCCTCCCAGGATATACAGGCTGCCGTCATTGGGGTCTGGAAGGAATGCTGGCCTGGGAAGCACGAGAGAAAGATAAAACGTGAGCCACCCCCTGCCCTGGGCACCTCCAAGGACACAGAGTGCCTACACTGCAGAATCCCCTTTAGCAGTTTGCTCCAGGGTGAGTCCCTGCAGGACTTGACCTTTCCTGGGCACCTGCAGCGCTGGATTTGGCAGGAGATAAATCCCGCTCTGGTCAGTCCTGGACTTCCCACAGCCACCCAGTGCCCACCCACCAGGCTGGTGGATGCCCTGCCTGTCTCAAGGAGCTCTTGCTGCCCCGCCTGCCCCTGAGCTCTCAGGGGGATTTCCCTCTCTTTCTCTCCATGCTGGTGTGTGTAGTCGAGCTGAGAGTTCCTTGGCTGTGCAGCAGGTGCCAGCTCCTCCTCATCACCATGTGCCAGCACCAGGGACAGGGTAAGGTGATGCCACAGCATGGGCTGGGCATTTCATTTCTCTGTGTTTCCCCTTTCCTGCTGTTGCTCCATCGTTTATCAGGGAGCCTCCTGCACTGCCCAGTGGGGGTGACACTCACTCTGCCACATAGACCGGCACCTGCAGAATGGGATCTGAAACAGAGAGTGAGAGGCCACATCAGCAGCGCTCCTGTGAGTGGGACAGCACAACACCACTGTTTACCCAGCGTGGCACTGTCACCCAGCCCAGCCACGCAGCCTGTTTGCCTCTCAGAGCCAAAAGAGACACCAGAGGCAGATGCTCATCCGTGCCTGGGGCCAGGGCTGGCAGTGCACCCCAGGCTGGAGGCACTGGCAGCCCAGAGTTCATCCAGCAAGAGCCAGGCCAGGGGAGCATTCCCAAACCCCAAATATGCTCCAGGAGCTAGGCTGTAAACAAATGCCTCCCAGTCACTACTCACCATCCTTCAGGGTCCACTTGATGTCCCCTGTGCTCTTGCTGACGGCATGGAGGTTCCCATCCAGTGTGGAGATGAAGAGCAGCGTTTCTGGGACAGTCACAGCACTGCCTTTGAGGCTCTAGGACAGACACACCGTCCTCAAAAGATCAGCCAGACTTGGGAACAATCCCCCAGCCCAGCTCCTCTGTGCAGCTCAGCTCCTGGGGCAGCTGCACCCTCAGTGACCACCCACCCCTATAGCCCCTGGCTCACATCCCACCAGAACCATCCTGGGGCTGGAGTAGCCTTCCCTCTCCCTCCTCTCCCTGGAACAAGTTTTCCCACAGGTGGGATGAATTGCAGTGTGGCTGTTCCCAGTCACAACCCTGGATGCCTTTCTAAAGGTGACAAGAGCAGCTCCTTCCAGAAACAAACGAGTCTGGTGACTTTTCATGCCAGAGAAGTGATGATTGCTTGCCTGGGCCTTCAGAGCTGCAGGTTTCAGCTACCTGACATTGAGGAAGTAATTGCAAATTCACCTGGGAAGAGGAGCTGCTCCTTCCACGTATGGCGTCTGCATAGCAAGTGCCAGCTCAGCCAGCAGCACATATGCCAGCCTCACCCTGTCAGCAAACAGGGATGGGCAAACAGCACGGGACACACACGGCTCTGGCAGTCCCCAGTGCCAGGGATTTGGCAGTAGCACCTGAGCCCCTGCATGGCGGTAGATTGGCATGAGAGGCACAAGGACACCCCTGGAGCCCAGCCCCTCAGTAGTCCCCTCGCTGCTCGGGAGTCTGAGCTGGCAGAGCCTGTCCTGGGGGCCTGTCCATGCTGTGGAGCAGGGAGCAGCCACAGCCTGTGCCCAGCCAGGACCTGCATGCGAGCCTGAGACCATTTGCAGAGCAGAACCTGACAGTACAAGAGTGGCAGGGCCAGGAGATTCCTTCAGCTGCAACAGAGCACAGGAACACACACCATCTCCCTCACAATGCACCTCATATCAGCCTCTGCGCCTCCAGCCCAGTTCTTTTATTTGCACTTCTTTTTGCTTAATTTTCAGGTGAGGTCAGAGTGAGTTTCCCTGCTCTGGCTTTGCCCAGAGGACACGGCAGGGGACTGCTCTCCACCATGGCTCCTCCAGCCCCCACGGCCATGCAGGAGGGATTGCTGCGGGCTGGGGACGTGGCAGGCTGGCAGACATGGGACTCTTGCCGTCTGCTCTTCCCACCTGCCCGGGGGAAACTGAGACTGCTGGGCCCCCAGCCATCAGGGCTCTCTGCTTCCTTCCCCCCTCAAGCGCTGGGGTTTTTTCCATCTCTTCTGCAGGTGTCTTGGTGCCAGGGCACTCGGGCAAAGGCCAGGCTGCCTGCCCTGCTCCCCATAAACCACCATGGGCAGAACTGGGAGCACTGGATGCCCGGGAGCTGCCACCCTCCCCCTGGTCCCAGCCCCAGCTCACAAGTGTGGCTGTTCCCACGGGCTGTCCCAGGAGCTTTCCCGAGGTTCCACCACAGCGCTCTGGACTCTGCAGTGATGCCGCTGGGGCCGAGCTCAGCCGTGGGCTGGGGGCACACTCGCTCCCCCAAGGATGGATAGAGAGGGACGGCCAAGCACAGACAGAAACTGGCGCCAGCATCCCCTGCTTCCTCCAGTGAAGCAGCTCTAGCCGTGTAATCCAAAGCCACCCTGGCACGCTGCCTATCCGCTTGAACCGCCACCAGCTGCAGGAGCTGGATCCGGCTCTGAAGGCACCACCCTGACAGGCAGCAGGACCAGGCAGAGGGGGAAGGGGACTCCGCTGCCGGCCACAGCCGGGCCCGGGGTGAGGATGGAGAGCAGTCTCCGCTCTGGGTGCCCCGGGCCCGGGTGACAGCTCGGCGCTCCATCGCAGCACGGCCAACGGCACCCACGTACGGCCGCGGGCCCCCGGCAGCATCCCGGCCCCACGGCCCCTCGCCCGCACCACGAGCACCTTGCGGGTGTCCCCGCCCGAGGGCCGGTTCGGGCCCCGCTCCCCGGTGTCACCCGCGGGCCGCACCTGCCCCGAGCGCGGGGCGCCCCTGTCACACCCCGGGCACCAAGTGCCGTGTGCCCTCCCGCAGGACGCGCGGGGCACGGTGAGCACGGGCTCACACCGGGAGCACGGGCTCACACCGGGAGCACGGGCTCACACCGGGAGCGCAGGCTCACACCGGGAGCACGGGCTCACACCGGGAGCACGGGCTCACACCGGGAGCGCAGGCTCACACCGGGAGCACGGGCTCACACCGCGCTGTCCCCTCCCGGGCGCTGTCCCACCCCCGCGCACCCCCGCTGCCAGCGGCGGCCGTACCTGTGCCGAGGGCGGCGGGAGCAGCAGCAGGAGCAGCCGGAGCAGCGGCAGCACCGGCGGCAGCGGCGGCAGGAGCCCCCGGCGCGCCCCCCGGAGCCCCCGCGGGCGCGGCGCGGCGGGGCCGCCCATGTCCCGGCCAGGCCAGGCCGGGCCGGGCCGCGCGGCCGCCGTGAGTCAGCGGGGCCGGGGCGGGTCCCGGACGCGGCTTCCGCCCCCCCGCGCTCCGCACACGCACCCCGACCCCGCGGGCCCGTCGGCCTCCCCGCCCCGCTCCCCTCCGGCTCCCGGCCGCTGGCACCGCGGGAGGAGCCGCGGTCAGCGCACAAACCCGCATCCCCCGCCCTGGGCACCGGCCCCAGCCCGGCCGCGGGTACCGAGCCGAGGACGGCTCCTCTCGCCGGTAACGCGGGGCGAAGCCCTCCCGGCGCTGGCGGTGGAGGAGCCGGCTCCTGCCGCCCCTCGCAGACCCCCTCAGCCCCGTGTGCCGGGAGCTCGGCCCGAGGGCCAGCGGGCACCGGGGGCTGCGCTGGGACCCCGCCTGCACTGACCGCTGGCCCCGAGAGCCAGGGCGCACCGGGCAGCACAGCGGGCACAGCTGGGAGAACGGCAGCGCAAACTGGGGTTACCGACCCCTCTGAGATGGGGGTTTGGGTGGGACAGGAGGTGTCTAAAGCGGGAAGCGAGGCCGAGCAGGCCGGTTCAGCACGGCAATCCCGAGCGTGCCACACGCCCAGCACTGGGGCTGCTCCGAGCACCCGCTTGGGGCTGTTCAATGGCAGTGGGACTGTGTGACACCGCAGCCAGCCTAGCCCAGCCAGCAGGACCGGCCCGGCTCGGTGCAAAAGCAGAATAAAGCCCGGCTTTGGGCAGGGAGGTAGAGACCATCCCGTAATTCACAGCCCGTGAGTGTGCAGTGGCACAGGGCAGCAGAACCCAAATCCCCACCGTGGGAGATGGGCACCCACGGCTTTGACGTGTCACCAGGTGTGGAGTCCCCTGAACTCTGGCCTGTGTCCATCTTCCTGCAAAGAAACTACAAACCCTTTGCTCACAGTTGTTCATGCAGGAGGAAGCAGCTCAGTACATACAGAATAGTGAAACACTCGAACACAGAAATACTTAATTATCAAACTTTAATTCATAAGACTAATCTTACAGAATAAAACACCAGGATAACCAGTCAAGGTTACACTTAAAAAAATCCAGCAGTGCAAATCTAAGACTAAATATTTGTCATCTCCCTCCCCCCAAAATAGGCAATAGATTATTTAAAAATACCATAATACATGGTACTCACGTATTCAATTTAAAATAAATCTGCAGTGAACACAAATATCTAAGTTGGTTTTTTAAAATATAAAACCAAAGAATTAATCGCTTTGAGTATGGATAAGACAGAGTGAACTTCCATGAGTACCAAGACGAATCCTTGGCTAGAAGGTAACATGGCCACGTCTCATACAAGCCTTGCTAGGCTCTCCTGGTCCCCTCCGGTGACAAGGACACTCACTAACAAAACAAGATGCCAGCAACCTCATCGTAACAGGTGGGGAGAGGTGCTGGACAGAACTGAGGGTGAAAACGGCTCCACTGGAAAAACCAAGTTACAAAGGAAGGAGAGTAAAGGAAGGGGAGTCTGGAAACAAGCCCTGCAAGGACGGAGCAGGGAGCGCTGTGCCCGAGGCAGTGGCGGGGTCAGGACCGTGGCTGTGGGCAGGGGCAGAGCAGACCCCACCGTGGCACCTGGGCATCAGCAGCAAGGAATTGTTTCTCTTTGGCCCTTAGAGCACGGAGCAGTGGGCACCAGCCAGCAGGGGCAAGCTGGGCACGGTGTGTGTGGCACCAGCACAGTGTGGTGGTGCTGAGTTTATCTCCTTTGAATCCAGATCCCTCTCTTCCATCACCAGAACACCCTAACTGGAGTTACACATTCCTCATCAACGTCATTAATGGAAATTAATAATTGACTTTAAACTTGGTATGAAACCATGCGAGTAACACAAGCTCTTCATGCAAGACAGTCTCTGTTCAAACCCCAACCAGACTGAGCAACAACACCTGTGCATTCCCAAGGAAGCAGTGATCCTGGGACTGCTTACACTTGGGATGCACAAACAGAGGAAAGGATACTGAACTTGGGACAAGCAGAGGAGGAGAAATCTGCAGTGCTGGGCACAGAGAGGGGGAAGGGATGGCACAGAGGTGAGCTGTGATACCCAGTGTCATGGAACAAGGTAGGGAAGGAGCTGGGGGACTGGCAGGAGGAATCCCAAGATGGCAGCAAGGAGGGGACACTGCCTGGGCTCTGGGAGCAGCCAACAGCAAACACCAGCTGTGTCCTGCAGGGACCTGCATTTGCCTCACCAATACTTTAACCTGCAATTTGCAAGCCCAGAAAACACTCAGTGCAGCCTCATATGGAGTGGCAGCCCGGGGTGCTCCGGGAATCACCTACACACAGCAGGAAGCAGCCGCTGCTGGGAGCACCCTGGTGAATTGTGATTTAACAAAGACACGTCTGTGCAGCTGGTACTGGTAACTGCCCACAGAATGAACGTCAGATCTCAGAACCATCTTTATCACCAACTCCAAGTTCTGAGTGTACTCACAATTTACTCACACACTGTGTCTCACTGAGCACCAAACTCCTCCCTGGGATCACTGGTTATGCTGAGTCTGCCTTGGGATGGTCACAGTGACCAGAGAGCAAAATCCAAAGCTGAGAGAGGCAGGCAA